AGGCACCGTGCGCGGGTCGCTGCTGCTGGTGGAGCTGCGACGCGGCCACCGCTGCCCGCCTTGTGCCGGGTCCTCTCGGCGGTGGCTTTCTTTCAAAGAGCAAAAAGCCTGCGATAAACTCTGCTCATGTTGGAAATCTTGCCGTCTCCATAGCGCCTGCAGCTCCCAGCAGCTGAGTTTGGAAGCTGCATGGGGGCTCAGCACAGCGCCCGTGGCTTGGAGAGCCCGGCACCGCTGCGTTGTGCGCGGTACGGGCAGCTCTGGGACGCTGGCTCTCAGGGCTTCAGTGGGCACAGCCATTGTTTTACCGCAGCTTTTCTTTAACCTTGCCTCTTTGTGAGCACCTGCTACGTGGTTAGCAGTGGCCGGCTGCGCTCTGGTAGCCACCAGCCTGCTCTTCAAAGGTGAGGGAGCTGGGGAGTGATTTCTTTAAGGAGGTATTGCTATTTTCATTTTCAGATTTATGCATTTTATTTTTCCTCATGCCAGCTAAATCCGAATAAACTTGTCACTTTCTCAGAACCCCAGATTGGGAAGAATGCTTTTCCTTTGGTGTCACTAATCAGCCTCCCAAGGACGCTGCTATCAGTAGAAAGGGAGCTAACGAGAGAGGGTCCGACAGCGTGCGTCCTTGCAGGACCGTGAGCGTGTTAAACGAGAGGAAAAAATGCAACAAACTCTTCCCGTCAAACTGCTTAATTTTTAGGCTTCCCCGCACTTCAAAACGCGGGGCATAATTTCTGCAAATTAAATTACAGTTGGGAGCCGTTGTCGCTCTCATCAGCGCCGTGTAAATACCGTTGTCCACAGAATACATTGTCCCCTCTGAAATGCTGTCTGCTCCTGGAGAGCAGCCTCGCTCCGTCTCGTCTTGTGGCGGAGTCAGGGTGCTGGTGGATTTTGGAGCTTTATTTTATTGCTTTTCATTTCATCCAGTTTTTTTTTTTTTTTTTTAGTCCGTTTTACCTCTGACAGTTTTTAAAGGTAAGGCTCATTTTTTTTGAGATTAAGAAGAAGGAGACAGTAAAAGGTACCGTATCTTTCTTCTTAATTTTTTGGCTTAAGTCTAAAGCATCGGAAAAAACACCCTTTAAATGTTCTTAAAAGTAACATTCGCTTAATTAAAAAAGATAGTAACAGATTACTTTACCCTCTTTATGGACTTAACTTCAGGAAATCAGGCATCCTCTCTGTCTCCTCTGGAATAATCAGTTTCTTATCTAATATATATGAAATGTCCAAATACATCTACTTCATTTGCATCTTTAACTCAAGAACAATTGATCAAAAACTGGAAGCACTGCTACAGATCAGAGAATCTTTTAGTTTAAAGCCTTTAAGTCACCATTTATTTCCATCTAGTTAAGCTTAATTTCCTTTTATTGTGTTGTTCAAATGAAAATATACAATGCCATGCCTAATTGTGTTACTGTTCACATTAATAACCTGTAACTTTACATAACAACGAGCAAGAAGCATCGAAAAGGCAGAAACAGATGCAATTATTTGTTGCTAGCTAAGTTACTGTACGTGACCCAGGTGCTGTAGTACTATTTGCATGTGTTTCTCACCTTTGTTCACCCAGACACATGGGGATCTCAAGCTATTGCTGACTAATTGATAGTTGTAGTAACTGCTATAGGCTCCTTAGATTAGAAATGCATGCAGACGTGTGTCTTGATTCAAACATTAAGGAACACACACTCTCACTTACTTACATGGGCAGAAAGTCTTCATACTATTAGAGGTGTGTGATGGAGATAGCAGGACATAAAACAGAAGAGAGAGAGACACAGAGAGAGAGAGAGACAGAGACAGAGAGATGGCATGCAGCATATATACCCCTACAAATAGTTCTAAAATGCGTTTGCAAATGCAGAAGTCTTCAGAACCATCCAACAGTTCAGCACACCCTTTTTATCTCTTCTCTGCGGGACGTCTCCATCCAGATTACTCGAAAAAAGCGGAAAAGGTGAGAGCTCTGCCATCTTAGCTCTGAATTCATCTGATTTCCTTTTTTTTTTTTTTTTTTTTTTTTTTTATCCCCCCTCTCCCTTGTATTCCTCATGCCATTGTCCATTCTTATGATGGCAGCCGCCCTTGCTCTTGAATGCAAGTGTCACAGCGGGAGCAAAAAGGGTTCAGGGCTGCATTGTCAAAGCCATGGTTGCCTATTGTTTCTTAGCCTTTCACTGCTCTGCTTTTCCGAGCCTCTTTCCCTATCAGTGGCCCCTGTCAAGGGGAGGAGTAGGGAGAAAATTGCAAGAGTTAGTCGTCCTTTTTATTGCACACTGTTATGATAAACAGCCCAGCAATACATCCCACAAAATTAGGAATTATAACGACAGGACGGGGGAAAAATTCTTTGTAGGTTTGCGTTTGTCGCTGCCCTTATGTCAAAAGCTTGGTTTCTTAGGAAAGACTTTTGTATTGGTGTTTTGCCCAGCAAAAAATAGAGGCAGCTGCAAAGTGAACAGTGAGCTATTTAGCCACAAGGTAAAAATTTCCTGTTGCTATTTGGATACTGATGCTTTTCAATTTTAAGGGGTGGGGGGGGGAGGAAGCATGACTGAGAGCATTTCTCTAGCTGTCCATCCGTTCATCCATCCATCTATATTTTATGTTTTAAAGCAATTGAAAATGATTGTTAAAAAGGCCAGAGAGACTGCTTGCAAGTTGGTTTTATTTGAAAATATCTCAGTGTAGGGTGAGGTTTGTGTTTCAGGTGATTAAATCTCGTACTGGGAAATAAAGGGCGAGCGACTGTCCTGCTCGTGCCAGAAAGTGCTGCTTTGTCAGGTCATCTAAAAGTAAAATCTTGTCACAATTTCTTCCTTTCATGAGGAGGGGGGGGGGAAATGTATCCAGGACTTTACTTGCCATTTAAGTATGCGTTTGATTGTCTTGTGTGAACAGGCCAGCGTTTCCAGCTCCAAACTTTAGGGAGGTTACAAAGTCGTGGCCTCAAAAGTTTTTCGTTTTACTCCGTTTGATATTAAATTGTTTAGAGAAAGAAAATATTTCTAAAATATGGCTTCCAAGAAGAGTACAAGCATATTTACATATTCCAATTGTAAATAATGCAGTAATTTCACTTTCGGTATTTTTTTTTGGTCTCAAAAATCTAACACAATAGAAGCAGTATTTAGTTATGCTATTTAGTTTATGCTGTTAACTGGTTTTGTAAATACGAGCATCTTTTTGGTGCTTAAATTTCTGCTTATTCTCCTAACTAGAGTACATTTAGCAGTCTTGGGATTTCATTTTAAAAAGGCTGTGATTACATTACGTTGACAGAGCTGTTGTATTACCAGAAATTATAAAAGGCAAACCCTTCAGACCATTCAAATCTGTGCTCCTTGAGTCTGAATATCTCAGTCATTGCAAATGTCTGGTCGTGTTTTTCTTCTGCCTAATAACACCAGGCAGAGTGCTTTCACAGATGTAAATACGGTCTGAGTCTTAGAGAAGCTTGCAGAGAAATGCTCGGTAAGCTGCCGAGCACTTCGGCTCCTCTTTGGGTTGTGTTTCAGAACACCCCGTGCCCGAGCCTCCCAACTGGGGAACGATTGCAGTGAATTTACTTTGAAAGAAAGGGGAAAAGATACTGCACCTGAATTCACTTTTAACTCCCTGAATGCTGCAGGACGAGTGATTTGAAGAAATTCTCTTAGTCCATCGTACAGCCAACTCGCCTTTTAGTCTCTGTGTTCGTCCTTTTCCACACGTGCATTGTCCTGCATCGCCAAGTTCTAGGTCAAGTATGGGTCTGTTTGGAATATCTTTAGAACTGAAACTTTTTGAAGAAATGCTGAAAGCACCCTGGCCTTGTTTTAAATCAAGCTCTGAAAGCGGCTGAGGCCACCCCGGGAGCACAATGTTTAATTTCCATTCGACATCTGCCTTATATTTGCCACCGCAGGCCGGTGGCTGTGTGGAAGGAGCTCTTACCGTTGATAAAAGTTTGGTATCTCTTTTGTCAGAGGTTGTCATTTCTGTTCTCTCAATCTGGACTGTCATTTTGTAAAATCTTTTGTCACTGGAGCTGAATGGAAAACCTGGAGCGTGCGAGAGATTAAAGATACGGGGAGGAGGATTCAGATGTGTAGAGCAATTCTGGTCGCTCGCCTCTTTGAGACAGATGGTGCCTAATCCCGACTTTCCTTACTCCAGTGTAAATACCGACCTGGCCTGCTGAAACCTCTGCTGAATACTGATGCAGCAGCAGAATCAGGCCTGGCTCGTTTCTTTGCTTTTTGAGGCTGTGGGCTTATCTTATGCAAAGCTCTCCTTTTACACTTCTGCTGGTGGATGCCCACCGAGTGACGTGATGCTGACTGTAAACACGCGGGTGTAAAGCCTGAACTTCAGTCCTTACTCCACACTCACGCTTGTGGAAGCGAGATCAGAGTCTGGCCTTCCCTGTCTAGCAACAAATACTTGAATTAGTTGATTTTTTTTTTCTTTAGATAGGGCTGGGTAGGCAAATATTGTCCTGTGCAAAGAGCTGGGGTGGAATTTTGAGTTTCTGGACTTTCCAGAGTGTCAGTGGAAACTGTTGATGTCTGAGTTGTTAGATCTACCTGGGAGTAAAAGTAAGTTTATCCAGAGCAAAAGCAGCAACATTTGGCCCCATTAAAAAAAAAAATGTTTCAGGAGAAGTGTCTGGAGAACTGGTAGAGCCTTGGGGTAAAGGCTGAGAGACCTGTTTTGGGTAGAGGCGGAAAAGCTTGGCTATGTACTTAACTTTTAAAATGTATTTTATCTCCTCATTTATCAAGGTGACTTGTGCTTGTACCGCTTTTAATATAAAAAAGGGTGTCTTTTTATTTTTGTCACAGGCCCATTCTATAATCTGCGGTTGAAATGTTCTGTGGGCAGAGCATCAGCTCAAGACCCAGGCACCCTTTAACTTTTCCATGGGGGACTTGAATTTGAGTGAAACACAATCCTTATAGTTCTGCTCTACATAGAAATATATATATATTTTTTTCCTATAGGAGTGACTTGGTGACTTCAGTGGGAATTCCTCATAAACAAGAAGGGAAAAAGGTCATCTGGATTCTTCTGAAGGCAGGAGCCAGGGCCAGAAATCCCCTGAAAGACCTATGCAAGAAGAGAATCTCACCTGCTGCCTCGTCTCCAGAGACCCTGGCCTACACTGAGGTTCAGGTAAGGTTCAGGTTCAGGCTCTTCTCTTGAGGACCTTCACTTAGGGGGTCCTTAGACGTGCTTGTTCTTCTCACCCATATGCATTTTGTCAGTGAAATTTGGTAGTGAATCACAGGGCAGTTCTCGTACTCTGATGTGCGTGGCATTACGTGCTCATGGGCATGGAGGTTTCTGTAGTCCAAAATGCAAGGAGAGCTGCCCTTGAGAAGTCACTTCAGGAATAGCTGAACCACTGCATTACTAACCTTGTGCTAATTCAAAATCTGTGTCCTGTTACCACCCGAGACTTACACAGGTAGAGCAATATCACTTCAGTTCACTGCTCGGACAACCCACTGCACCTGCCAGCCTTTTGGGTTGTACAAGTCATTGCCATGAATTTTATGTTCCATTCTACCTTCAGTAGGAGCACAGTGGTTTCAGTTTAGTAGGTAGAAAAATAGGATGGTTACACCCTATTGAAGGGGGAAGCATCTAAAAAAGGACATGGAAGAATAGACTAACTTCCACTGGGAAAAGCCCGCTTGGAGGGACTCATTTAGCCATGGGAAGCTGGGAGAGAAGCGTGGAGTGAAAGCCTAGCCAGACAATTATCCTACTAATGGGTAAGATTATGTTGGTTTCGAGTAAATCAGTTCAAATCTGTGGTTAACTGTGTCTGTTGAAACAATTCTGAATACAGAGAGCGTAAGGGGACAGACCCTCATCAGGTGAAAACTGCCACAGTGCCCAACACCGGTGGGAGATGTGCTTCAGCTGCAGGATGAAGTTCCTAAAACATTCAGGGCCTCTGTCCTGCTTCCTCTGGTCTTCCCCGGGGTTGAGAGCTTTGTACTGGCAGATTTCATTCTTTATTCAAAACATGTGATGTGCTTTAACAAAAACAGGGCTTTGAAAGCTGTTAGTCTGTTAGCACAAGAGAAAACTTTCATGTGACCATATTGGCAAGACAGGGAGAAGAGTTTTTTAATAATTGTTGCTTTCATTCTAACTCAGGGCAATTGCTATATCTCGATATTGTGTCAGAAGTGCCTCATATGTTCAAATATCCGTCTTAATTCAGATTTCCAGACATCATTTCAGCTTTGCAGGATATCATTTTGCCACAAGGTGATTTCAAAAAGAAAATTATTTGTGGTATAGCTTCAATTTTATTTATATGCTTGAAATCTAGTCAACAGCTTACTCCCTCCATGGTGTGGAATTCCCACTTCTATTTATGTGAATAGATTTTTCTGAACTAAGGTAGTCATTGTGGAAATATTATGCCTGTGCTGAAAATCACAGACATTTATTTTGTTTCTTTACATTGACTTTGACAAGATATCTTGCTGGAGGACTTTGTCTGGGTGTGAGTTTTAGGTTTGAAAAGGGCAATGCACTGTGTTTCTACCTCCCACTTGTTCCTTTGTTGGTTTTTTTTTTTTTTTTTCAACATTTTTTGCCTATGGTTTGAGAAGAGACTTGAGAAGGGACTGAAGTCTAATGGAAGATGCTTGTCACCTTGTAGGTCCTGGTTTGTTTTTTCTGTTTCTACAGAATGTGCAGCCACCTCTGTAAGGTTCAGAGACTTGCTCAGGCTCTTACTAGAGCAAAAATAAAACTGTAGTTTTCCTGTCCTTCACAAGTTTTCATTGTCTTGTCCAGCTTTAACCAGCATTAGATGGCCAATGGATAAGGGAATGAGATTTAGAGACTACATAACATGCTGTGTAGGGAGAAGATGTGATCAGCTGAGAGGATACTGGACACAAATGCAGTCTGGCTCCAAGTATCTAAGAAATGGGCCAGTCTTAAGTTTAAATACTGAGAGTGCAATAAGTCAGTTGCAAGTCAGGTTGTTTCTACAGAGTTTGCTTCAGGCTTTGGTTCTGCTTATACCTCCCTCCATTCTGCTGATGACACCTGCCTTGATACCCATCTCTGGTTCATAGTCCTGCCTATAGTGCATGGGAAATACTCCCAGTCTTTCCCAAGTCATCACCTTTTCAACATGAACTTCCCCCCTAAAATCTAATTTCTTCAGTATTGACTACAAAAAAAGATTTTTTTCCTAGTATATCTGCGTGTTTTGCAAGGCTCTAGATAGATTGGCTGGAAGTGAGCATGTATCTAACCAGCCTGCAATGGTATTTTCGCTGTAACAGTGGTTCTTCTTCCCTCATTCCCTCAACTTTCTTGTTTTGCTTGGTTTGTTGAGAAATAAGCCGATAAACTGCTTGAGTTAGAACATCGTGTCAAGCGATTTCATTTACCCTTGTTATACATTTTGAATTCTGTATAAATAATGGGTGAGTGGTAAAAGAAAAAAAAAGTAAGTCAGGTACAAGCTGCAGCTCAGAAAAATGCCCAGCTGTCATTAAAATTCAGCAACACTCAGTGAGCAATGGAAATCAAACAGTGCTGATGATTACCAGAGGAGGATTCTGTCTCGCTGTAAACAAGAGGGTGCATGAGGAACTGCATAAAGTCCCGAGTAACTTGGCTTGAGCTCAAAGCCAACCGTGTGCTGAGCAGGAGGTTGGACTGGAGACCTCCTGAGGTCCCATCTGACCTGAACTGTCCCAAGATTTGTTGGGTGCAGGCGGCCTGCTGCTGGGAAATGGTGAGCATCCACTTCGTTGGGCTCCGGGCTGGTGGTCGTGGTAGGTGGGAGGCCAGGTGGTGGGATCGTGAGCTCTGTTCTGGGAGGCTGGCTGAGAGCTGTGGAGATGGGGCAAGGCCAAGCCAACAAGGTCAGGAGGCACAGGACCTGGGGTGAGGCACCATGCCTGAGGAATTTAATTTCTTTTCTCTTTGGATGAAATTCTCGTAACTAAAGGTTCTGAAATCTGCCTTGTGTGCAAATGTCACACTGCCCCTCTCTGCTTATTTGTTGAATGTACATGTTTCTATTTGCACATTTTATATTTTATTAGGATTCTTTGTAGTTCCTACACCTGTTCCCTGTTTGAATGATCAGGCAACATATTAACATCTGGTAAAACAAACAACATACCAAACATTAAATATCTTAGGATCTATTACAAATCCTATAGGACAAGATTTAGGTTCATGGCTCCTGAAAAAAGATACTTCTGCCTTGCTCTTACATGATTTATTTTAGCCATACCTACAAAATTCCCAATAGCTGGAGCAGGTGACTATTGTAGGTAAAGTGGGTAAAATTTTATAAAAGGAGAATTTGAATGGGGAGAGAGAACTAAAGAAATGCCAGTATTGGCTCAAAGGCAGAAATCAATCCGGTATTTAGTTTAATTCACTAGTTCATCAAATCATGTTGTGAGCGTTCAGCAATTAAACATGCACATAAAGCTAACACATCACATAATGCATACCCTCTGCCCTGAGTGCTGATGAGGGAGTTTTAATGGTCGTGTTGGTTATGTATGGGTTATAAGGTTGTATATTGGCCTGATAGTTTCAGTCATTAAGGCAACATGTCTACTTTGAGGACACATCCTTGGCTTGGAAACCTCCTTCCAGAAGGAGCTAGCAAAACCTAAACCTTGGTAAGTGAACTTTTGGGCCATCTGCTGCTTACTTGTTCAAAAAGCTGCATTCATGAGTGGATCAGACAGGGGACTCGGTGACAAACCTTCATTGTTCTGAGGTTTAAAATAAACTTGTTGTGGCTAAAGATGACAGTGTTAGTTTCCCAGAATGCGTGTTGGCATTTCAGTGCTGTATGCTTTATCAACCGAGCTGTGATTAATTGCAGCAGGGCTGCTTACAATTTGAAACAGACGTCAAATGCGAATCTTTCCCTTAATGTACAGATCATATGGGGGCAGGCTACGCGCACAACTAGTCTCTAATCCTCCAGAAGATATTTCTGCACGCATGTGGCTGTGCTCGTGTGAATGGTCCAGCCTGAAGCTGCTGCAATTACACGTGTCGAGCTCTGTAAACATGTGTTTGTGTAACCCACTGGTATGTGGCTGATGTATGACCCGATTTACTGGCAACTTAATAAGTGCTGCTGACCTGTGTCTTGCCCTTTCACGCACTTAAGCAGGCACACAGAAATCCTAGTCTGGCTGGCCCTGTTGATGAGCCAGTCTCCCCCGGGACCAGATTTTCTGCCTCATGAACTGGATCTGGCCCCTGAACTCACCAGCTGGCTCTTCCACTCGGTGGGTATCTGTAGTGTACAGAGGACAAACTGCAGGCAGGTCAGTTCGGATACTTGAGGCAGGACCAGCCTGGCTGATGCAGAAGCCAATTATGCCAGGTTAACGTGGCTTTACATTTTTGGGGAGCTGTGCTGGTGTACAGGCATAATAGGTCTTCTGGAGTTAGCTCAGTTATGTGACACGGTGCTGCTAGTGGAGACTTGCCTGAATTCCCCCCTCTCTAGGTCATGCTATGATTACTTGTGTGTTCTGTCCAACGTTAGAATCATCACAGTTAGTACAAGGTCAGCTGTGATGCCCCAAGCCAGTCCCCACTGTTCAGAGAAGGGTACAGCGTGTTGGTCAGTGTGTATCATGCATCCCTTGAGTGCCCAAATCTCAAATGAACTGGGTCTGTCTTGGCTCTCAGTCTTTGACCCTCCAGACCAGGCTGTACAGAATTGGTGGTTTACCCTTGGTGGTCCTAAGCGCAGTCCCAGGATAGCCAGACAAGGTAGATGTGACAACTACCAAGCTAAAAAGTCCTGGGCTGCACATATGTAGATAAAAAGCTTATGAACTATGAATATAATTTCCTTTCTGGGACATTACAGGCTGACAGTAAGAAGAAAAGAGGTGACTTCAGATATTATCATGAACTAATCCACCATAAAGAAGGGCGTTGACTGATGCTACCTGATTTTACTACAAGAGAAATAGAAGTTGTAAACCTGGTTCTCATCTATAGTTGTACAAACTGGTATTTGCCTAAGACAGTAAGTTTAAAATTTGTGCTATTTCAACAAGCTAGAGTTTTATTATTGCATTCTTCATTGTGCTGCTACCGAGTCCTTCAGCTAAAAGGCAGTTCAGATTTTGCTCTTC